ACCTGTGGCTCAATTAAAACTGGACTTGACGATGAGGAAACATACTGGGCTGATGGGAAATTTGGATGTAACTTAGCTGCTCAGCTCCAGACCCTCCCTCAGTAATAGAGGGACAATTCCTCCTGGAATTGTTCCAAAGCAGCAAATCCTTAGAAAATACCTGCTGCTCTGGCCAGGTTCAGTTTATCCGGTGCAAGAAAGCAGAGGAGAGTAAGTAGCAGCAGACTGAACAGTACTACTTGAATAACAGCTTTCCCGATTTCTGCCTTAATAGATCAAACGGCGCATAGCTGGGATGTTTATTTTCACATCCAACACTCGGGATTTCCGTTCCGCTCACAGCTGACTGCTGTACTCTTTCTTACATTGGTGTCTTTTTACTCTTACATTGGTGTCTTTTTACTCTTCAGAGTCGACAGTAAAAAAAAAAATCTAATAACTTCATCATCAAACGGTGACCACAGGTGAAGGCAAACTGAGTATTCCAAACAGGAATTGAAACAAGTCTGGTATCACAGCAGATTAAATTATTTCCCTGCAAATTAACTCACTATGTTTATGTCCTCGCCCGAACAGTCCAGCACCAGACAATTTAGCTAAAACACACTGCAGTTAGAGCATTTTTCAGGTTTCAACCTCTTAATCCACTCAGTGTTTTCTAGGACTCCTCACTTTCCCACTGCCACTCTAATTAGATTAGGGTCAAGACTCTCCTGAAAGCCCTGGGTGCTGCAGGCTTTGAGGTGAGTTAGCTTAAACCTTTAGCCTTCTAAATTTATCACCACCGATTTATGTCAGTGATCCACCATTCAAGTTAAGTTTTGCTCCATACTCGTTTTATGCCAATAGGCTGGCCAGGAGGAGAGAAACAACAACTTTGCTGCCAACTCACCAGCACCCTGTGTGCTCGGTCGCTTCCTTGTCCCAAGCAGAACTCAAGCTCCTGAGAAATAAATCAATGCGGGGCTTGAAGGTCAGATGGCAAAGCCAGGGCCAGTGACTGGATGTGCTGAAAATGGGCAAGCAGGCAGCAGGAGGCGGCAGGGAGTAAAAGACGCTTACGCCAGGAGAGAATTGAAAACTGCTTGACCTGCCCATGAACCAATAAGGAAAAGACAAACTCCCGAAGCCCGGTCCCGTCACCCTGCCAGGCATAAGCTGTTTAGCAGCCCCACGTCACGCCGAGAGTAAACCTTCTTCAGGAAACCAGCAGAGACCACGACCGCCACAGAAAATCCAGGCTTGTGGTTGGGGTTTGGCTTCCAGACAAAAAGCGACTGGCAGGCAGCCCTCAAAGAATGAATGCACCTTCTCAAAGGGGCATCATTAATGCCAGCACAGGGAAACAGGGACATGATGCACCTTCTGGGGAAACAGCCACAGCAGACGTGGACCACAAATTCACCGTTCGGAGTCACCGAGCCAGATGCTGCCCAGAGAGGAGCCAGAGGCAGCAAAGGAACGAGGGTGGTGAACAGAACTCCGCTTTTTGCTGTTTTGGCTCATTTTTAACCATGCAGAGGTACATTTGTGTATAAAGGTGTAAGCTCCTAGAAACTCAGCTGGCAGGAGACAAAGCTGAAGCGGATACGGCAGTATCAGGACGAGGATTTGTGACCCATCAGCCGCTCTCTCTACCCACGTGCTGCAGGACAGCTTTGTTTAGAGTGGAAATGCAGGACAAACATCACTGCTACCGGCATCGTGGTAGGGCAGAACACAAGATGACAGCCGAAGCAGGGACACGTTTGAAGGAGAGATTTTGGAGGACAGCCTCCAGAGCGCTTTACACCTCCACCCCATCCTCCCAGACAAAAGTGTTACTGGAGTTGCACATTTCTGGATCTTGGGGCGTGACAAAGGCTGCTGTTCACCCCTTTTATACCCTCCTACTCTTTATTTTGCTCAAGTAGGGCTTTCCACTTTGCAACCACATACATGAGACATCAATGCCATCTGCAGAATGAACAAACCAGCGAACAAGACATTACACAGAAGCACTGCTTAAACACATAAGTCTTTGTCTTGTAGACAGTGACACTCATTTACAGGAGATTCCTGCAGATAAATTCATCCAAGTTCCTCTTTCAAAGGCTGCACTGTCAATCCACGCTAATTAATTTTCACAGTATGCTAACAGTGAATTCCAACTCTCAAAAACGTTACTTATGAACTTTAACATTTATAAACTTTGTCTCCTGATTTCTTCTAGGTTCCACAGGATCCTGAACACTTGCTCTGTTCTACAGCAGGTTAGGATGATCAGTGATATCAGACACAAAAGACAAAAGCATTTCCCCAGGGCAGAAGCGTGCATACTGCTGAGAACTCAGCCACACCACGGCACCTGCTTGGTGCAGAACCATCCCTCCTACTTCCCACAAATCCTCCTCCCATTTAGTAATGTTCCTCAACATCAGCTACCTCCTGCATCCCAAGATGTGCTTATTGGTCCCACTTTGACCGATCCACCAGAGAGCTCACCCATGCTCTAACCAAGGTCCTGCTCCTTGGGAGCCCAGTAACAGCACACCTGAAGTCCACACAAAATCTCTATTAAATTCCACCCCCCAAAATTTTTCCTCCCTACCAGATTCCCTGCTTTCCCTATGCCACGCAACTCCCTGCCTCATGTGTCAGTGCCAAGCCTACCTGTGTCTTGTCACCTCATCACAAGGGCAAACCCTGCTTCTGTTGCATCTGCAATACCAGTACCTACTTGCTCCCATCAGAAAAAGAATCCCCTCTCAGAAAATCCAGAGAGAGAGACATTTTTCTCACTCTTCAAGTTCCCCTTTTGCTGCAGCACATCCATACCAATAGCTTGGGGCAAGTGCTGGGTGAAGAAAACTGCTGTCACCTGCAAAAAACCTGTGCAAGTTCATCTGGGCTATAGCATCCTATCCTTTATTGCTCCATCCTGCTCCTTCCACAGGTTGCTTGTCCCTCCCAGCTACCTGATGCTGATTTTTACACAGCAATCTCTGTATGGCATGGGCAATCATTTGCCTTTATACCAGGCTCAAAACCAAAAGACCCACATTATTAGCAAGGAGGGCTTTAGAAGCCATACAGCTTGCTTTTGGATGAATACTACTGGAATAAAAGTAACTGATCAGATTGGAGATACCATTACAGAGAACAGAGGAGACAGTGCAGTCAAAAGAAAAGGAGTACCAGACTTTTTTTCTATTCATTTTATTTCACAAGTGAGCTAGAAAGGAGTTTCTTGTGTCAGAGCTCCTCTCCCCAGACTTTTTATTGCCATTAAACGTTGACAGTACTACACAGTTTCTTGCAGTGTAAGAGTTTTGTTTGTGTTAATAATTCAAGCTGCCACCTGCAATTGCCTTCACCCGTTTACAGTCTAGCAGCTCAGCTTAAAGCACTGATGAACACGACTTTACTTCAAGATGCCGAACTGCCATGACTGAGGTAGAATCACACCGACATCATCGCACTACTCCGGCACCGGGGAAGGCAAACTTCGAAAGGTGCGTGTGCATGTGTGCATGCAGAAGGGCAGCACGGGGAGAGGGCAGAGCTGCCTACCAAGATCCACAAAGTCTGATCTGTTTGATCTTTGCCAACAGGACCATCCTGCCAGGTGCTGAACATCTCTGTCTCTTATTGACGAGGAACAGGACAAAGTCTGCTCGAGTGTAACTGGAACAGAGGAACTAACTTTTTTTTTTTTTAATGGAACACTTCAGAGGGGCAGAATCCTATCCTACCCATTAGCCTAAACTTAATGTTTATTTTCATTAAGGACTTGTTTAGTCCTATAGTTCTTCCATCTACAAAACAGGCAACCAGCAAATTAAGTTAACATTTTAAAAACCAAAACCTAATAACATTTAGCATAAACTGCTACTGATGCAGACCTTTGATTTGCTTCAGTTTGTCCATGGCTTTATAAGCGACCCAGTCCAAGCTCATGATTTATGAGCATACCGGCAAAATCCGCTACCGCCTGCAAATAACAATACACCACACAGGTCCCAAGCTTACAAACCGAACGCAGGCTTACCGAAGCAGCAGCTCTTTTGGAAGTTTTTTGTTGATCACAGCTTCATCATTGTTTGAGAACATCTGTAAACAAAAACAATTTAAACATTTTAGCCATATATTTTCATTACGGAAACAAAACCTACTTTACTCTAGGGAACAAGCTGCCAGTTAACAAGGCCATTTCAAGAGAGGCATCTGGCCCAATAAATTCTCAAAAGACAAACTTTGTGCTCAAGCTTTCAGACTCCTCGAGTGGACCCTAGCTGGATAGAATATTACATCCAATATGTTTTAAAAAACGGTCCAAGAACGCTTCGTGGCTTGATGGATTAAATATAAACCGAGATTTTTAATTTATCTATTAAAGTAAATGATAATTGGGTGTACTTGTGGGCTAGCACTGACTACAGGAAGGTATCACCTACAACATTACTACGGGCTTCCATCTGTGTCACAGTTCTGTGAGGGTAAAGCACTGACACTTTAAAATCGTGAAGCGTAACTAGGCATCAAACAAGCATATAGCAAAGGGGTTGGCGGGAAGGGCTATGACAAGAATGATCAAATAGCCCTCACATCCACCAAATGGAGGTTGAAGATGCAGGCATAGCAGGACTGGTTTCCATAATAGAAAAGGGCGTAGAGTGTGGGTGAACAGGAGCCTTAAAGTAAGAATTACCCTGCCCGTATTGCTCTCCAGCAAATCGTTTGAGAGCAGCCCTTAAGAGCTTAGGGGCAAGCAGTATTTTTTTTAAGACACGAGGCGTGGTTTAAAGGGAGACATAATCTTCGGTGCTGCATCAGGAGAGACGATTCTAGGAAAACACTGTGTTCCTCCAGGGAAATGAAGCCAGAGCTGTTTGTTGCATCCCAAAAGCTTTTTCATGCAAAGCATTATCATAGCGGCCAACAATTTACAAATCTGAAATGGACTTTTGGACCAGCTAAAATAATCCCATTAGCTGTAAGAATGAGAGAAGCTTCTTTTCTAAGGAGTCCTAAGAAAAAACAGACGGCAAAGCCTCATGTGCTTCTTGAGGAATATCTGCATATATTTTAAAAGACTTCGTATTGTCTTGCCATGATGAAAAAACAAACAAACAACCTCCACGCGCTCATGCCTGTGGGAGGAATGATCAGAGCGATCCGTGAACTAAGACTGCTGAGCAGCGATGCCTCATTCCGGTTAGACGCATGCTTCCAACGTTTCCAAAAGCAAAGCAGGGAACAAGGGAAATAAGCTTTAATTTCATTAATAAAGTTTCTCTTTAATCTCCTGGAACAACTGTGAGCTGATCTTCCCGAGCTACGTACCTGGTAAAAACTGCTGCTAAAATTACAGTCCGAAAAAGCCAATTCTTATCAGTTGATTAAGTGGTCTGAATCGATTTAGTTGTATGTATGCAAAGCAAATAAAACCAGCATCAGCTAGGTCACTTAAGTGGCAGAGGATCAGATTAAGAGTTAAAAAAGGAAAGTAAGATCTTAGTGGCTTATGAAGCTGTATGCTAGGCCTCACTGGCAGGCCACAAGCTTCTCCAAGCAGCAAACGTTCTGTCCCCGAGCATCGATCCAACCCCGTCACCCATCAAAGAAACCGCCATAGCTTAACGTGAGAAGCTAAGTAGCTTTTTCAGACGCTCCCATCAGCGATAACAAACCAACAACAGAATAACGCCACTTTCAGACGCTCCCATCAGCGATAACAAACCAACAGAATAACGCCACCGTTGCAAGGGAGCACTAAACCCAATGCTTTTAGAGTCAGCCAAACTTCAAAGCTGTGTTTCTAAATCACAGTTTGCTTTTTAATTATCTCAAGATACCGAGGCATCATGCTGAAGTGGGACACGAACTCTCCAGCATTCTTTCCCAAAATGTCACACAGAAGAAAAGTGTTGCTTTCCCCCCACAGACGCTTTTATCACTTCCCACCAGAAGATATCACAAGTTAGCAAGTCCTAAACGGTCCACTAGACAGGCAACTACTCAGCCCATTTTGCAGATAATTAAAATGGAAGTTTTGCCATTTCCCCGGCTAACGCACGTTCTGTGCAGTCTGTTCCCTCTGAGACCAGGGCAGAAGAGCATCTCCTCGAGTCGAGGACCCGTTCAGCCTCGGTCACGAATGCTATCTGACGCCTGGCAGGTAACTGCTGAGCACCACGGCGGGCCAGGACAGACATCGGCGAGGCTGCGAAAGGCGCCAACGCACGTGCGCGTTCTGGGACTGCATCATCTAATTAGATGGCTTAGCTGATCAGCTGGGAAATTAAAGAAATTCTGGAGAAAGCTCTAATGAAGGGGAAACTCAGAGGAATTATTCATGGGGAAATGATTTTTCTTCCCTCAGTTACAAGAACAATAGCAGAGAGGCAGATTTATCCTCTTTCCCGTTATTGTCCAGGTCAGAATTTTACATCTGAACCAGCAGCCTCCACCCTCCTCACAAAAAAAGGTGAGAGAAATTAAAGGAGCAAATCAGACAGCAGTAGGAGACTTCCGAAAAGGAACCAGACTCGGAAGAGAACAGTCAAGGGGCAGGAAGTATTAAAATAGAGATTCCAGAAGCAGCCAGCCAGCCTGCCTCTTCGGTCTCATCTGTATTGGCAACAAGGCTTTGTCTGAATTCAGATTTCACTGTGAGAATGCAGGCAATGGTCACTGCCTGTCGGTAGCTGGGATTCTGCATTGAGGACACTCCCAAACAGCTTTCTGCAAAACACAGGTAACTTCTTGATTTCTGCCCACTACGTTGCTCCGTAGAAAAAGCCTGCCTTGATTCCAGCGCAGATCAAAGACTTATACTGTGTTTCTGTAGAAGCTACCCTTTGACCAGTACTATACTAAAAGAACGTTTGGGTTTTGTCTTACCAAAAACGTCCTTGGAATTAAACGTGACAGGGCCAAGACAGGATATGCTCTGTGGTGAACCTCGGCTCTGGAATTCCCCCTCCTCTGGAAGGCTGTGAAGTGCTGGGGTACATCACTGGACTCATTTTCTCAAGCCTTCCTCCAAAACTTGGTGCTCAGATGACAGAGGTTGGGCGAAAACAGGCTGGAATTGGGATATATCGCTATGTCATGGCAGCATGTATACCTAGCTAAATATACCAATGGACATTTTGCCTTTCTGGCAAGTCCATACAAGAATAAAACTAGTCGGAAAAAAGGTAAGAGGCTGTTTTAGAGTTCCAAGGTTTTGAAATGACTTCTAGGGATAAAACCTAAATGACCTAAGTTTGCTTTGACTAACATCTCTCTTAACATCCTTTAATACCAGGTGCTATTCAGTAGAATACGTGATTCTTGACAGGGTACAGGAAAACCTATCTTGTATGTAAATTTTGCAGTCTGTACAAACCACAGAAGCTTCCACAAAGCATTGAGTTTGCAGCTGGGTAAAGCCACATCCCTTACACAGAAGAAATGGAAGGGGGAAGAGGATGAAATTCCTCTTGGTCTTCCACCCACCGAGGCGAAGGCAGACCAGCCGCGCACTACTCACTTTTGAAGCAGCCTTTTCTAGGTAGGACAGAAGGGATCGATTGAGAACAAAGACCACGGAAGCAGACACTATAAAATTTGTATTAAATTAGTACAGGTTGTTATAACCTGCTACAAGGTGAAGGAAAACATGTCCTGCCAGAACACCAGTGCTAGACAAAGTGTATGATAGTGCTGCATTTCCCAGTTATGTTGCTATAAATCTCTTCTGAGCACCATCTACAGATAGTGGAAGCAGTGGCTTAGCTGCCCCGGGCAGCTGGAGCTACGCGGTGCCACAGTACGCAGAGGACTTGATCATTGCTCAGTTAAGATGATTTAATTTTCCTGCAAATATTGCCTTGTCCAGCTCTTCTACCAAAGCCAGGAAATGAGCAGGACCTGCACAGTTTTCCAGGGCATGTGTCTGCTAGCCGTTTCATACTTCAGAAAGACATTTTACAATCCAGGAGATATTTTACATATACATACTTCCACAGCACTGCACATGGAAATACTTCCCCTATGCCAACAGGGGGTCAAAAGGGAGAACAAACAGTATCCATCCAATTGCAGCTCCAGCAGTTGGTTCAGCACCAACTTCACAAGCCCAAAGAAATGACAAAACTTTTAAAATTTAATGCATAAATCATTCCTTTACCTCATAAATCATTCCTTTACCTCTCAAACCAATTAAAATGTTCGTACACCGTTTATATTTACTATTTGATAAAAAGAGAACTGCAACTACTTGGCTCCCCATTTACAATAGTCCGGTGCATTCAGCATTTGACAGGTGCACCCAAAAGGGCCTGGTTTGCAGTGATTTTTTTTAAAAAAGTAGAAAGCCACAGGAGTTAGCAGTGAGGACAAGGATCACCCATCCTTCAGTCATCCACAGGGACTCACCAGGTTACCCCAAATCCCAGTACACCTTCCACCACACTGCCTGAAACCCCGGAGACTATAACCCAGAAGACAGAAACCTGCTACTTCCCAGGATGTATTTGTGGGCACTGTGGTGCTGTTCTCCAGGACGCTGCCACCCAGAAGCATTCAGATCAAGCAAGTTTATGAAAACAAATCAAGAGATACAGTTCTTGCAGCCTTACGCTGAGGTCACTCAGCACAACGTGTAATCGTCCATTTGTTTTAATAACTCTTCCCTTGCCTTTCGGAATATTAAAAGTTCTGCAACCTGGCTCAATTCATCCAGTTGCCCAGTCCTGCAGTGGTGTGCGAGTGCTCTGCGCGGGGCTAATAAACAGATTTATCTGCTGTGAGGCACTGCTAAGAGCACAGAAGGCAGAGTTGCTGTTCAGGCATCGGTCAGCCATTTCTTACGGGGCACAGCAATCCAAACTGGGTCATCTGTATGACATCAGCACAGGATCGAGATGACAGCACTTTGCAGCTGAGCGTGCAATGGATGAGAGCGTATAATTATGAGTGTCCCTGCACAAGAAACACCTACATATGTACTGTACTCATCATACATGCAAAGAGGGACGTGAACAACAGTTGATGCAAGCTCTGGAAGTGAAGCAACTCTTCGCAGGCATGCATTATTTGAGTTAAAATATAACGTAGAGTAT